CCCAGGAGGCAGGGCGGCCCGAGCAGAGGCGTGGTGGCTGGAGCTCACTGGTGTGTTTGGGTGCTGGGCTGTGGAGGGGGTGGGGAGATGGGGGCACTGAATGAGTTATACGGACGCTTCATCCCTGAGTCTTGGACTCTGAATGCAGACAGCAAAGCGCTCCCCCCACTGACCCGTAAGGCAGGTGGAGCCCACAGCATCAGTGGCATCCAGGGGAGTGTGATAGGAGGGTGACCAGGTGCCAAGCCCAAGGGACAGGTGCAACAGGAGCCACTGGGCCTCCACCCTCTGCCCCGTAAGGCCCCTTCACACCGAGAGCTCCAGCCAGGCTCAACCACAAGCAGCTCCCCAAACACCACCCTCCTCCCCATGCCCGGCCTCAGCACCTGCTGTTCCCCCTGCCCAGACCCCTTCCTCCTTCCTGCAGCTCTTTGCTGGACGAACCTTTTCTCAGCCTTCAGGTTTCAGGGCTGAGGCCAACACAGTGCCTCCAGCTCCTGCCTCAGGGCAGAAGACAGATGAGGGAGACAGCAGGTGGGGCTGCAGAGGCAGGGGCTGCCATGTGGTTAACTTGATGCAGACCCCCAGCCCTCTGAGGAAGGCTGGGCGTGAGCCTGAAGGCCAGGCCTTGCAGGGAGTCTGGGACCCCGGGTCATTGTCCTGTGGGTTCGAGGGAGCAGAGGACTGGCCTAGCACTGGCAGGTGCCACCGAGGATGGTAAATGAAACTCAGCTCCGCTCTCCCTACTCACCAGCGAAGAGCTACGCTCTGCCACCTACAGCCTTAACACGTTGGCAAGCATGTCCCGTCCCGGGGGCAGGGGAACAGGTGACTGTCACAGGCCAGGGGCAGGTGGCAATGGTCAAGGGTGTCACTTCTGGAGCCGGACTGCCAAGCCTCAGGCCAGCCTGCCTCTTTCTGGTTATGAGAGCTTGGCCGTTTGGTTAACCCTCAGTGACTTAACACAGCCTATTCTACTGTAATAATTATGTATTTATTTCAATGTGCCATCAAGAGATGCAATCAGCACATCAATTCCCATCGTAGATATTATTGTTAGGACAAAGCTAACCTGGGTATTTACGGGATTTTTAAGTAAGTCTGTTTAAAGAAAAGTACTAAGTAAATAATAACGCAGGTTCCAGGTGGGAAGCTGATTTGTAAGTGATGAAAGTGAAGGTCATGCCAGCTCGGAATTTCCTTGGACCCAATAGTCTTCGAACTGTTCTGCAGACCCTGGGAGCCCCAGAGGGTTCCAGGCAGGCAGAGATACACAGACTAGGGGCTGGGAGAGGGTTAGGGTTGCTCTCCGGGGAGCGTGAGGAAGCTGCTCACCCCTGTGGGCTAAGCGCTCCCCCCGGTGCAATTAAAATTTGTTTATTGTGAGCTTATTTTTTCCTGCTCTTTTTATTGTGGTAAAAGACATAACCTAAGATATATCAATCTAACCATTTTTCTTTTCTTTTCCTTTCTTTCTTTTTTTTTTTTTTTTTTTTTTTTTTTGAGATAGGATCTTGCTCTGTCACCCAGGCTGGTATACGATGGTGCAATAATGGCTCAATGCAGCCTCAATCTCCCTGGTTCAAGGGATCCTCCCACTTCCTCCCGAGTAGCTGGGACTACGGGTACACGCTACCACACCCCACTACTTTTTTAAAAAATGTTTTGTAGTGATGGAGTCTCACTGTGTTGCCCAGGCTGGTCTTGAATTCCTGGCCTCCTCCCACTTCGGCTTCCAAATTGCTGGGATTACAGGTGTGAGCCGCTGTACTTGGTCTTGTCTTTTTTCTTTTCTTTTCTTTTCTTTTCTTTCCTTTTCTTTTTTTCTTTCTTCTTTCTCTCTCTCTCTTCTTTCTTTCTTTTTCTTTCTTTCTTCTTTCTTTCCTTTTCTTTTTTTTCTCTCTCTCTTTCTTTCTTCTTCTTCTTTCCTTCTTTTCTTTGTTTTTGAGACAGGGTCTCACTGCCCAGACTGGAGGGCAGTGCTGAGAACATGACTCACTGCAGCCTCCACCTCCTAGGCTCAAGCAATCCTCCTGCCTCAGCCTCCCGAGTAGCTGGGACCACAGGATGTGCGCCACTGCATCCGGCTAATTTTTAAAAAACATTTTGTAGAGACACAGTCTCACCATCTTTCTCAGGTTGGTCACAAACTCCTGGGGCTCAAGTGATCTTGCCTTGGCATCCCTAAGTGCTGGGATTACAGGTGTGACCCACTGTGCCAGGCCACTTCAACCTTTTTTTTTTTTTTGAGATGCAGTTTCGCTCCTGTCGCCCAGGCTGGAGTACAGTGGCATGATCTTGGCTCACTGCAACCTCCACCTCCCAGGTTCAAGCAATTCTCCTGCCTCAGCCTCCTGAGTAGCTGGGATTATAGGCACCCACCACCACGCCCGGCTCATTTTTGTATTTTTAGTAGAGACAGCGTTTCACCATGTTGGTCAGGCTGGTCATAAACTCCTGACCTCAGGTGATCCGCCCACCTCGGCCTCCCGAAGTGCTGGGATTACAGGGGTGAGCCACCGCGCCCAGCCCATTTCAACAACTTTTAAGCATCCAGTTGAGTGGCATTAAGTACAATCACATATCCATTTCAGAACTCACACATCTCAAAAAGAAACTCTGCATCAATCAACTAAAAACCCCCTATTCTCCACTCCAAAACCTCTGGTAACCTCTATTCTACTTTCTGTCTCTATGAATTTGCCTATTCCAGGGGTAATTTTTTCCAACGGGCTAATACACATACATGGTAAGAATTCACAGAGCAGAAGTTTCCCTGTCCCCTCGTGCTCTTCCCAGATGAACTGCTGTCGCCAGTTTCCTGTTCATTCTTTCAGAGATATTCTGTGCACATACAAATAGGCGTGTGTATACCTATCCTTATTTATTGTTAGATACAATAAATCTGAGAGATGAAAAGGTATTTTGTACATCAGAATATCAATATATCTTCCTATCGGCACACACATCCTTGTTAATGGTTGTGCCGTATTCTATTGTATAGGTGAGGTATACTCTATTTAGCCAATCCCTTATTGATGGAAGCTCTTCAATTTTTAATCTGTTGCATTTATCTATTGATACCACATGCCCACCCTTAGCTGCAGAAATGAAGTAGCACCTACTTAGCAAGGAGAACTAATTAAACATTAAAAAAAAAAAACTATCAGACTAGCAAAAATTCAAGTCTGGCAATACCAAGTGTTGACGAGGACATGGAGGACTGGCACTGTTATAGATGGTTGGTGAGAGTGGCAATTGTTCTAACCAGTTTGGGGAGAAGCTAGGCACTCTCTAGTCAAGCCAAAGGTATGCAGACCTTAGGCCCAGCAAATTTCCTATCCAAGAAATTCTAAAGAAACTCTCCCTGGCCAGCTGTGGTGGCTCATGCCTGTAATCCCAGCACTTTCGGAGGCTGAAGTGGGAGGATCACTTGAGCTCAGGGGTTTCAGACCAGCCTGGGCAACATGGCAAAACCCTGTCTCTACAAAAATTATAAAAATCAGCCAGATGTGGTGGTGTGCGCCAGCAGTCCCAGCTGCTTGGGAGGCTGAGGTGGGAGGATCACCTGAGCCCAGGGAGCTTGAGGCTGTGCTGAGCTGAGATGGTACAACTGAACTTCAGCCTGGGCAACAGAGTGAGATCCTGTCTCAAAATAAATCCCATATATGGACCAGGAAACAGGAATAGCCATTGCAGCATGTTGATGATAGCCATGCATAGGAACCAACTTAAATGTTCAACAATAGGAGAAAAGAGAAATAAATTATGGCGTATTCACATAGTGGAATAGTAGACAACAATAAAAACAAACTATAGCTAGATGCATCAACAGGAATAAACTTCACAAACAATAATAAGTCAAAAATGAGTTTAATAAGGTTACATACAGTATGATGCCATTTTTACAAAGTTTTAAAGCATGCAAAACAATACCATATATTGTTTATAGGTACACACATTTGTAGTAAATGTAAAACTAAGTTCATGTAAGCATGGGCAACATAGCAAGACCCATCTCTAAAAAAACAAAACATAAAAAAATTAGCTGGACATGGTGGTGCAGGTCCGTGGTTCTGGCCACTCAGGAGGCTGAGGTGGGAGGATCACTGGAGCCCAGGAGTTCAAGACTGCAGTGAGCCATGATCACTCCACTGCACTCCAGCCTGGGTAACAGAGCAAGGTCCAGTCTCTTAAAAAAAAAAAAAAGTGGGCGAGGCACGGTGGTTCACGCCTGTAATCCCAGCACTTTGGGAGGCTGAGGTGGGCAGATCACCTGAGGTCAGGAGTTCAAGACCAGCCTGGCCAACATGGTGAAACCCCATCTCTACTAAAAATACAAAAACTATGCCCGCCAAACGTGGTGGCAGTCACCTGTAGTCCCAGCTACTCAGAAGGCTGAGGCAGGAGAATTGCTTGAACCTGGGACGCGGGGGTTGCAGTGAGCTGAGATCACGTCATTGCGCTTCAGCCTGGGCAACAGAGTGAGACTCTGTCTCAAACAAACAAACAAAAAGTGGAACACATTAGCATTGGAAGCTACCACTTGCATTGTTAATACCTTTGAATTGCATCATCAATTCAAAGCTATTGGAGGGAACATCTGTGGCTGTTGGCCCTGGGTTTCCACCAGCCCTGGGCTGGTTAGAGTTTCTACCCATTCTAGTTCATGTATAATGCTGAGATGTTCACCCCAGTCATGAAGACTGCTCCAACCAAGACCCTGGGCTCTAGTGGTCCCCAGGCCTGTGGGATGGAAGCTCGTCTGTGCTGTCACATAAGCCTCAGGCTCTGCCCCTCTTTCTCCCAGAGGTCATTTCTAGAGCTTCCCCAGAGGATTCAGCATTATCCCTCTGTGACATCTAATCTCCTGCCTTAGGCAGCCTGATCCTGGGCTAAGTCTCTCCTGGCCGGGGAGCCTCTCACCCGGCCTCTTTCAAATCCCACAGCGCAGACCTTGGCAGTGTGGAGGGAGAGAGCCTGGTTCTTCCAGCCAGCCCTGGGCAGCCTCCTGGTGTCCCAGGATAGAAAAAAGACTCACATTTCTTTGCACCATTGACCCCATCACCGCAGCACCAGAGCATCTGACATCTGCAAAACATCATTAGGTAGGTGTTAACTTTTCCCCATTGGTAGGCCTGGTGCTCGTAAATGTACTGTGACGAGTGTAATGTGTTTATGAGAATGTGCATAATAAATTATCAGAAATAGGCTGCATTTTTAATATCATTTAATATATCAAGTTGGCCTCTCAGCAGCCACAAGCTATATTGCAAATGCTGAACTGACTTGCTGGCGTCAGCGCTCCACCATGCTCTCCATGCCGAGGCCATAGTGTATGCCAAGAAGGAGGCAGGAGACCCCCAGAGTGGTGGTTCCTACCTCCCTTCCTGACGTCCCCTCCGTCCTCTGGAATCTAAAGAGAAAAGGGGCTTCATTTATCCCTGGGCCCCCTACAGAACGCAGCCTGGGGCCTGTGACAGGGTAGGTGCACAATAAATATTTGTGGCTTCATGAATAAATGAATGGACAAGAGACCTCGGCAGGCCCCTCTCCATCAGCCAGCAACACTGTTTCGAACTCCTCCATCCAAGCGCCTCTGTCGGGTTAACATTTTCTGTTAATACAAAGAACGTTCTATTAGCACAGCAGGACGAGAGCTCCTCCGGTAATCAGGGAAGGGTGCAAACGGGGGACACATGTTAGGCCTGGGTCAGAGAGGGCCCTTCTTCTCCGGGCACATGAACACCAGCCAAGATGCCAACCAAGGAACATCCAGTCAAGTGCTGCACAGAGGGCATTTCCTCAAAAACACATGTTACCTACTGTAAAGATCTGTTAGCTGGTCCTTCTCCACCAGGAAAGAGGTCAGAATATCCAAACAGGAGGATATCAGACTCCCCAGTGTGACTTTGCCAAACCTTTCTGGAAATTCCAACACCTGCCTTGGGTTAGGCACTCACTTCCCCAGTGAAGAATCACTAAATATTGAGAAATGTCACTGATGGGCATATGTTACACATGTGAACAGCATAGAGGCAGCCCAGCAGGTTGAAAAATCACTGTTAAACCATTAGCACCCTCTAACCCAGCCAGTCTCAACCTCCATTGTGCACCAGAATCATCAGGGGTACTTAAGATGCATGCTGAGTGTGCACACACAGTCAGTGGGTGTGAGGTAGGGGCCTGGAATCTGCATTATTGATAGACATCCTGGGCTGGGCGTGGTGACTCATGCTTGTACTCTCAGCATTTTGAGAGACCAGGGCAGGAAAACTGTTTAAAGCCAGGAGTTTGAGACTAGCCTGGGCAACATGGGGAGACCCTGTCTCTACAAAAATTTTAAAAATTAGCTGGGGATGGTGGTGCATACATGTGGAGCCAGATACTTGGGAGGCTCAGTGGGGAAGATCACTTGAGCCTCGGGAGGTCGAGGCTGCAGTGAGCCGTGATCTCACCACTGCACTCCAGCCTCGGTGACAGAGTAAATAGACATGCTAGTGCTACAGATACCTGGACCATTTTTTAAAGAACCCACTTAATCTCATTTGACAAGAGCCTTTGAGAGGGTCTGTAGGGAGTTAGGAGAAAGCTCAGAAGCTTGTTGGGAAAAGCAGGGGGCAGAGAGGCAAGGGCACGGGGCTCCTGAGGGCTGTGACCAAGGGCAGACTCTATCCACTTAACTTTGCCAGAGGCTGATCCAGCTGCCCAGCTGCCCACCTCAGCATTGGGAATGGAAGGCGACGTGATTGATGAGGCTCTGGACATATCCAACAGCTTAGAGATGCCCACACATGCCAGCCAGCGCCCAGCCTTGGTAAGTGCATCCACTTATCACCTGGTCCTGGCAGCAGATACGGAGCAGCCAACCGCATGTCACTGGTAGAGACATCGAGCCAGGCACTGGGAGTGCAATGACAGTTTGCACCAGGAAGGTTTGCACCGGGACGGTTTGCACCAGGAAGGCAGGGGCAGCAGAATCACAATTCCCTGAGCGCCAGTTGCATACTGGGCACTGTGTACCCATCCTCGCCTTTAACTCACACAAGCTTGTTCTTATTCTCCCCCATTGCTGATGAGACCCAGGGCCTAAGTTAAGCAACTTGCCCAAAGTCTGGCACGCTTAGGAGGAGGCACACCAGACTTTTGACTCTAAGTCTGCCTACTCCCAGACCTATGCGCTTTCTAGAAAGTAGACACCTGCCCAGATAACACCACTTCTGTCCCTTGGGGAGGCCCCACCCCATTTCAGCTGGACTCAGAGCTGGGCAAATTCAGACCTAGAGTGGATTTCAACTCTGCCACCTGCCAAAGGCTGGACCCCAACATGCCATGTGTTCCTCCAGTGGGCATCCTGGGGTTCCCTGGCTCCATGCTTAGGAGGCTGGGCCCTCCACCTGACTTCTTCCAAACCCTCCCCAAAAGCCAGCTCCTGCAGAGCCAAGAGCCATGAGCTGATCCTCCAAAAACCAGACCCACAAGAGAAGAGGCCAGGAGGGAGCCGCCAGCTCTCGGTGAACACAGTCACAGGGCCTTGATGTTAAAAGACAAGGCTCAGGGGTCAGGATGTCCAGGTCTCATCCCCAGTCTGCCTCTTGCTAGTCACTTGACCTCCCACAGCCTCAGTCTCCCCAACTGTAAGATGATGACGACACCCTGTAGCTCCTTAGTAAAGGAATAATAAAATGACAGCTCAGCGTCTGTATTTTAATACCTGTGTTATTATATAATCATTTTGTGATGCAGCCACCTCTGGCACAGAAAAAGTCACTCTGTGCCTATTTAAGGATTAATCCCCTTAAGCATTCCTGGAAATGAGAGCCCCTCTGTGCCAGGCTGCCCTTCCAGGCTCTTCTATCCTTCCCTTGGCCTTTGGCCCTTGGAAGCCTGAATATTTCTCCCACCAGGACCTCAGACTATCTTTAGGGAACCCCCAGGCCAGTCATTCCCACTGTATCCCCTGAGGCTCTTGGCCTCTTTCCTTCCTTGTCTTCCTCCTCCTTTTTTTCCCCCTCCTTCCTCTCCTCCTCAGTTTGGGCTTCCCATGTCCAAGAAGCCTCAGGATGAGCTTTGGGAACAAGGTTTTACCTGTGTTTCCAACTCTGCTCTGAGCCTCTGAGCTCTGTAGTGGAGGCGAGGAAAGGGAGAAGGGAGGGAAAGTGGAAGCATCAAAAAGGACACTGGGCTGTCATTGCAGCTCTGCCGCCAGCCAGCAGTCACCCTGGGCACATCCTGGTGCCTGAGCGCTAATTTCCTCACCTGTGAAATGGGAACAGCAGGCCCTGCCTACATCCTGGGGTGGTTTAAGGAATCAATGAGATGACAGCTGTGAATGTTCTTGGCACAGTACAACGTATGCCATGTGTTCCTCCAGTGTTTTCAAAGGCCGGTAGTGCCCGCCACCAGCCAGTTCAGAACTCAGTACAAAACATGAATTTCTCATCGCTTCTCACCATGAGTCTTGTCTTTCCAAAGGAAGGGAGAAGGGAAAGCCGACTCAGCCCCTCTTATCTGTCATGGTCTGTGCTGGATGGGGCTTTGCCACAATGCTGTGCAGTTGGAAACAGCCTCACTCCATAGATGAGGAAACTGAGGCTCAAAGAGGTCAAATAGCCTGCCATAACTGTGCATCTGGAAGCCCTAGAGCAAGGTTTCGCCTCTCTTTACTCTGCTCCCCATCACTCTGCAAGGGTTACAGTGGGAGAACAAGAGCGGCTTGGAGCCCCTTATTCAGACTCAACAAAGGCACCCAGCTAAGAAGCTAAGTGTCTTTCACGTCAGTGGAAACCAGAGGGTAAACAGGATTCAATTCATGCCCAGGGCTTTCCGGGAACACACCTGTCCAAGCAGCAGCAGTTCCCAACAGAGCTCTGGTCTGGAAAGCCAGACAACCAGGGCTGGGCCCTCTGGGATTTGTTTAGTGATCTGACCATGTGGGAGGCCTAGAGTAGGAGTGTGGTGGGGGGAGGGTGCGGCCCAGCCTCATTGCATCACTCACCGCCCAGACCTTCCCCTCACCCGCTCCTGACCAGGCCCTGTCCAGGTTCTCAGCCACCCTGCCGCGGTGGGTCCTTCAGACTACTCACTGACCAAGTGAAGGACTGACCCGAGGTTCGAGTGCTGTGTTGTATGTGACCTGAGAATATGTGTGCACAGACTGTGCCCCCGTGTCCTTGCACAGTTGAGCGTCTACATGTCCTGCCCGTGTGTAGGCGGCCTGTCCCTACACGCTAGGAGAGTGACTCCATGTCCTGCTAGATGGGGGAGGAGAGAGGGACCTGTGCCCAGGGTCCCCTGGTCACTTCTATGGGCGCATGTTTGTGTGTCTTGTTAGGGGTGCTTGGGGGTGTGGAAGCCTGTGTCCTGGGTGCCCTTGACCTGTGTGTGCGCTCCATGAGGTGTGCGCGCGTGTGCACTGGGGTGCACTGTGTCCCAGCACCCTCGACCACCTCTATGGGCGCACGCAGACGTTTGTATGTGTGTCCTACGGTGTGAGAGAGCGGATGCTTCCACCACGTATCTCTGCACACGCGTGTGTGCACTTGCACACCTGCGTGCGTCCCGAGAGAGCGAGCAGAGCCCGGCGTGGGCTGGCAGGCGCGGGAACGTGTGGGTGCGCGTCCTGCGGGTCCCTGCCCGGCTGGCTCCCCGCTTGTACCGCGGCCGTGCATGAGCGGAAGGCGCCCGGCGGCCCTGCCCGGCCGCGAGTGTGCGCGCGCGGGGTCCCGGGCCGGCGTGCGCGCCGGTGTGAGTGCGAGTGAGTGTGGCGCCGCGCGGCTCCCTCCGCTCCGCGCCGCCCGCGCAGTCCGCACACTCGCCCTGCTTGGCTGCCGCCGGGTGACGCGGGCTGGGCCCGCCCCCTGCCTGCCGGCCCCTGGCGCTCACTCGAGCCGTCCGCAGCGGAGCGGGCAGCAGCCAAGTCAGGGCCGTCCGGGGGCGCGGCCGGCGATGCCTGCAGCCCCCGCCGCGCCCCGCCGGGCCTGCTGAGCCGCCCCCGGGCCGGGGTCGCGCCGGGCCGGGCCGCGCCCGGGGCGGGGCGGCGCTGCCTGCATGACCCTCCCGCGGCGCGGGGAGAAGGCGACCATCAGCATCCAGGAGCATATGGCCATCGACGTGTGCCCCGGCCCCATCCGTCCCATCAAGCAGATCTCCGACTACTTCCCCCGCTTCCCGCGGGGCCTGCCCCCGGACGCCGGGCCCCGCGCCGCTGCGCCCCCGGACGCCTCCGCGCGCCCGGCCGCGGCCAGTGCCGGCCGCCGCAGCCCCTCCGACGGCGCCCGCGAGGACGACGAGGATGTGGACCAGCTCTTCGGAGCCTACGGCTCCAGCCCCGGCCCCAGCCCGGGTCCCAGCCCCGCGCGGCCGCCCGCCAAGCCGCCGGAGGACGAGCCGGACGCCGACGGCTACGAGTCGGACGATTGCAGTAAGTTTCCAACTCGCCGACTTCGCGCCCCCTCCCCTGGCTCGGGCTTGGCGCCCCCAGGCCGCGCCGGTCCCCTCGGCCGGTCCCCCTCGCGTGGTCGCGCTCTCCCTCGGCGCACACCCCTGCCGCGGGGTTGCGGGCCCCTCGCGCGCTCCGTGCACTCTCCGCGCCCTGCCCGCCGGCCTCAGCCCTCCCTGACCCGGGCCGGAGAGGAGGGAAGTTTGGGGGCACCCCCGGGGGTGTCCCATTTCCGGGGCCGGGTTCCCAGGAGCCGGCGCCGCGCCCCCTCCCTGCAGCCCGCCCTCCCCAGGCTTCGGCGCGGGCGGCTGCTTTTGTTCCCGGGAAGGGCGGAGCTGTGTCCCGGGGAGACACCAGTTGCTGCCGGCCTCGCGCTCGCTCCCCGCTCGCCAGCCGCTCCGGGAGGGCCTCGCGGCCGAGGGTCGGGGTTGGGGCGGGCTGAGGAGGGGCCCGAGGCTGGGAGCGGCCCGGCCTCCCGCGTGGGCCCGGCGGCCCGCAGAGCGCAGCGGCTTTGCCGGTGCGCGGGCAGAGGACCAGGAGGACCGCGGGGCCGCTTGTCCTTTGGAAAAACCTTGGCGGTTCCTCCTCCAGTGTCCATGGACCCCGCCGCGGCGCTGGCCAGGGCCGTGCACCTGCGCCCACCTGTTACGCCCGCGGCCCCCGGGCAGAAAGGGCCTCCCAGCCCGCTCCCCCTCCTCCCGGACTGAGCCCTGAGCCCCGGGGAGCAGGCAGGCGCCGGAGTCCCGGGACCGAGGCCCGGCCGGTGGGCGCTCCTGGCGCCCTTTCCCATCCACCGGGCCGGACAGGCTGGGAAACCGAGGCCGGAAGAGGTCGCGGTCCAGTGAGGAACCGGTTTGCGCGGGGTGGGGATGGGATGTGAGAAACCCCTCCTAGCCCAGCTGTGGCTCCCGACTTGCCGCTGAGACCTGGAAAACCAGCCCTTCCCGGGACGTGGCCCGGGCAGGAGCCCTGCTCTAGCTTCTCCAGGGCTGGGGCTGCCCCTCCCCTGTGCAGGGGTGTCTGCGCCTGGCTTGGGCACTCACCAGGGCCTGTGGGCTGCGGGCCTGGAGTTTCCCAAGCATCAAATGTGCTAGCAGAAGCTGAAGGTAGGGATTCCCAGTGCCCCCGGGGCGGAGACCCCCCATCGCTCCACCTGGGGAGGTCCATCAGCAGTGGCCGGTTAGAGCAGGGCCCCTGTAGGGAAACTGCCTGCCAGGCACTTTCGAGGCTTGGACCACGGCCCTCGGGCCAGCGCCTGGCATATGAAGGCCCTGCCCTGGGGTGTGGGGGCTGGGGAGCCGTCTTGTCCCTCCACTTTCCTGCCAGCCTGGGGAAATTGGGTCGGAAGAGTTTTTTGCCCTCAGGGCTGTGCCCTAGATCCACCCCTTGCCCTCTGCTCCTGGCGCCCTGTGCAAAGCTCACCCCGGACTTGCTGAGCCTCTGGGCAGGCCCTAAGTGGGACCCAAGTCACTCGTTTGGCTGCCCTGAATCCAAAGCCTCCCCCAGATGAAAGGATGGGAAACTTGTTCCCATTTCCTTCATCACTGCGGCTGCACCAAGGAAGTAAGAGGGGAGGGCAGAGCTTCCGGCCACCCTCCTGGTTCCACAGAGGACCCTCTAGATAGCGAATGGCCAAGAGACTTTTTTCTGTCTCTGAACCCACAAAGCAAGGAGGGGACCAGGAAGCTCGAAACTCAGGCCAGCCAGCCCCTTGTCCAATTCATCAACTCAGCAGCCCTTCGCGGAGCGTGTCCTGGCAGAATGCTGGGTCCCTGGCCTCAGATACATGCCATGCAGGGGCCACACTCACATGGGGTCAGCAGTGCAGGGCAGAGCTGGACGCAGCTTTGCCAGCTTGAACTGTGGGCTGGCCACACCCGTATTACCAGGACACGCCAAAGAAATGCTAAAAACGGGCTCAGAGGAGCTAAGGAGGACGGTGTGCCACCGAGCCAGGGCCTGTGTGGGCCCCTGTTGCCCCCTTCAAGGGGTGCCCCACCCCAGGCTTGGATCCTGTGGGGGGCTGAGCAAATATCCTAGGCACAGGAGCCCAGAAATCTTGGCTCTCGTCCGTGGTGGGGGAACAGGGTCTGGGGTGGGACTGCCTTCCACCCAGTACCCCAGGCTGTGCCCCCCTCTGGGCTGTGACAACCAGATCCCTAGAATAAGCCTAAGTGATTCAAGCCAGATGGTTCATTATGGCTTTAGCCAGGGTTATGCTATTTGCTGCCCTAATTATTGGATTATCTCTGTTCTGACAAAAAGAAATGAGGGCGGTTGCTCTGTTGTCCAAGGCAGAGAGTGAAGTGCTGTTTATTTACTGAGCCTTTTCTCCTGGCTCTTTAAAGCCCTTCCTTTATTAAGTCATGTCAAAGCACAAGCACACAACTCACATGTTCCCAGCAGATCTCGCAGAGGGGCGATGACAGGGAGGAAAGGCAGTGAATGTCCTAATGAGCGGGACCTGGTGTCTGCCCTGCTAGTTCTCCTAGGATGGCCTCTGTGGCGTGCTGCCCTCCAGGTGGGCCGTGGGCCCCACACACCACGCGCTGCCCCTACCTGAGTTGCTCTCCTGCCTGGTCCCCACCTGTGGAAGCCCAGTTCATTCTTCAAAGCTGTAATCACTAGAGTGCTGTGGGTTGCAAGTGACAGAAAACCAACTCAGAGCGGCTTAAACAATGAGGACAGCTGAGGTCTTGCCACACCAGGGTGCACCAATGTGTCAGCACCTCAGCACCGTCAGGGGTGATGGTCCTGTCCGTCTTTGCATGTGGCTGTGCGCTTTTCCTTGTAGACTAAAAATCAAGGCCCATTTCCTATTCCAAAGGGTGTCTGGGTGAGGAAGGTTCAGGTGCAAACCAAGGTCAGAATGACATAGTCAGTCTCCATCAGCAAAGCAGGACCCTCGGGTCCAAGATGGCTGCTGCAGGTCCAGGCATCACACGTAACAATAAGGTCCTTGACTGGGTAAGGACTGATTCCTTTTCTCGTGTCTCAGTTTAGGAGCAAGGAAACCTCTCCCAGAAGTCCCCAGGAGACCTGCCCTTTTGTTCTGTTGGCCAGCGTTGCCTCATATGCCCATGTTAAACCTGCCCCGTGTGGTTCACCGGGGACCAGGGCAGGACTGATGCCCATGCAGGTCTGGAGCAAGGACAAAGTGTTGAGTCCACCGCAAAGGCTCTCCTTGTCAGGGGGCATATTCCAGCCCCCACTGGCTGTGGTGCCCCTTCCTTTGAGCCCAGAACCTCTTTGGCCCCAGTCGTGTTCTACCTGGACCCGTGATATTTTTAATGCACTCAATGTTACAGCACCAACTGTGTGGCAGGCTCTGTGTCACGCACGTGTAACATACAAGAGTGCTGAGAGGCAATCTCTGACCGGAGGGTATCCATCAAAACCAAGACAAACAGGTGACCCCGCAGTGAGGGTCAGGGAAGAGGAACCCAAATGGGAAGCTCTGGCTCGCGGAGGTCACTCACAGAGAGGGCTCAACCCTAAGACGGGGGGGAGGGAGGAGGTGGGCTGGCAGAGGGGGAAGAGGAAAGGGAGGTGCTCCTGGCAGAGGGACAGCTGTGTACACAGGTCCTGAAGTGTCAGAATCTCAGCCCAGTGTAGGCAAAACAATAGAACCAAGTGGCTCAAAGAAGCGGAAGAGACCTATGAGGAGGCCAAAGCGGTCATATCATAGAAGGTCTTAAAGGCTACACCAAGGAGGTTGAACTGAGTCCAGGAGTTGATAGAAAACCTTCCAACAATTTAAAGCAGATGATGAAGATGTTTATAAAAATCTTTTTTTTTTTTTTTTTTTTGAGACGGAGTCTTGCTCTGTAGCCCGGGCTGGACTGCAGTGGCCGGATCTCAGCTCACTGCAAGCTCCGCCTCCCGGGTTTACGCCATTCTCCTGCCTCAGCCTCCGGAGTAGCTGGGACTACAGGCGCCCGCCACCTCGCCCGGCTAGTTTTTTTTTTGTATTTTTAGTAGAGACGGGGTTTCACCGTGTTAGCCAGGATGGTCTCGATCTCCTGACCTCGTGATCCGCCCATCTTGGCCTCCCAAAGTGCTGGGATTACAGGCTTGAGCCACCGCGCCTCTCGATCTCCTGACCTCGTGATCCGCCCATCTTGGCCTCCCAAAGTGCTGGGATTACAGGCTTGAGCCACCGCGCCCGGGCTGCATTTTTTTTTTTTTTTTTTGAGACGGAGTCTCGCTCTGTCGCCCAGGCTGGAGTGCAGTGGCCAGATCTCAGCTCACTGCAAGCTCCGCCTCCTGGGTTCACGCCATTCTCCTGCCTCAGCCTCCCGAGTAGCTGGGATTACAGGCGCCCCCCAACTCACCCAGCTAGTTTTTTGTATTTTTAGTAGAGACGGGGTTTCGCCGTATTAGCCAGGATGGTCTCGATCTCCTGACCTCGTGATCCACCCGTCTCGGCCTCCCAAAGTGCTGGGATTACAGGCTTGAGCCACCGCGCCCGGCCCAAAAATCTTAACACTCATCTCTAAGCTCCTGGGAAGCAGGGATGACGGCTCATTTCTGTCTATCCTCCCTGCAGTGCTGGCCTGGCTCAGTGGCTCAGTTTCCCCAACTATAAAATGCTTTCAACACAAGCCTGATGGTTTTCTATGGTCCTTGCCATAGGTTTTTTTTGTTTTTTTTGTTTTTTTTGTTTTTTTTTTAACTATTTGAGAGCCTGATATTTTTCTTCCCAAAAAAAAAAAAAAAAAAAAAAAAATCAGGGTTGATTTCCTATTCCCAAGGGTGTCGGGAAAGTCCAGGCACAAACCAAGGTTATGGTGATGCTGTCGGTCTCCATCAGCCAAGCAGGGAGGTGTTCGGCCTTAGAGGAGACAACAGGGGCTTGAGCTTGATTTTCTCTGAATTAGCCCCATTAAAGCTCTATCATTATCGACAAACGGGTGACAACTCTCAAAGGCCCATTAGTGACCAGCCCTCATTATTTTTCCGAAGATGTAAACTTCAGTGAG